CCCAAGGCCTGGCCCTGTCCCAGCTCTCGGGCCCCTCCCGCCTCATCGTCCCCTTCGTGGCCTGTGGGGACCTGAGCGCCTACGACCCCGACCGAACCTACCCCCTGCAGGTACTGGGAGGCACTGGGAGGCACTGGGACGGACTGGGAGGGCACTGGGGAAGCCGTAGGACCCCTTTGGAGCTTCCTGCAAGGACTGGGATGAACTGGGAGGCACTGGGACGGACTGGGAGGGCACTGGGGAAGCCGTAGGATCCATCCAGAGCTTCCTGCAAGGACTGGGATGAACTGGGAGGCACTGGGAGGGTACTGGGAGGGCACTGGGATGGACTGGGACACACTGGGAGGGTACTGGGAGGGACTGGGACACACTGGGATGGACTGGGAGGCACTGGGAGGGTACTGGGATGGACTGGGAGGCACTGGGAGGGGACTGGGACATACTGGGAGGGCACTGGGGAAGCCGTAGGATCCATCCGGAGCCTCCTGCAAGGACTGGGATGAACTGGGAGGGCACTGGGACATACTGGGAGGGCACTGGGACATACTGGGAGGGGACTGGGACACACTGGGAGGGGACTGGGGAAGCCGTAGGATCCCTTTGGAGCTTCCTGCAAGAACTGGGATGAACTGGGAAGCACTGGGAGGGTACTGGGATGGACTGGGACATACTGGGAGGGCACTGGGGAAGCCATAGGATCCATCCAGAGCCTCCTGCGAGGACTGGGATGAACTGGGAGGTACTGGGAGGGGACTGGGACACACTGGGAGGGTACTGGGACATACTGGGAGGGCAGTGGGATGGACTGGGACATACTGGGAGGGCACTGGGGAAGCCGTAGGACCCCTTCGGAGCTTCCTGCAAGGACTGGGATGAACTGGGAGGCAGTGGGAGGGTACTGGATGAACTGGGAGGGTCTGGGGAGACCCTTTTTGAGTGTTTTTTTAGGTATAGGTTGGTACTGGGGTATACTGGGATATACTGGGAGGCACTGGGAGGGCCATCCAGGAGCTTCTTGCGGCTACTGGGGGCACTGGGATATACTGGGAGCCACTGGGAGCCCTTACATCTATAGGTACTGGGGGAGGGGGGGGTATGCTCAGCCTCCAGTGGGTTATACTGGGTTATACTGGGATGAACTGGGACACCCCCCCCCTCCCTCCCAGCTGGACCCCGAGAAGCCCTACAGCTACGTGCCCCCCCCCGCGCCCCCCATCGCGCCCCCCTACGCCCGGGCCTGCTTCCTGCGCCGCCACCAGCGCCTGGCGGGCGTGCAAGGGCCCTCGTGCGAGGAGATGAGTGTGCAAGGAGCCTCGTGCGAGGAGGAGGAGGAGGAGGAGGAGGAAGGACCGTGCGAGACGACGGCCGTGCGAGGAAGCCCGTGGGGGGAGGAGGAGGAGGAGGAGGAAT